ATCGATAGTTTGTTATTATGATATTAGTTGAAATATGATCAAATAGTATAGAAAAACAGAGCATGCTTTTCTCTATTAGACTATACAGAAAAAAACTTTCTCAGAACTTTCTATAAGGAATTACGGTACCTCCGCCACCACTTTTGGACTGACCTAAGCATTATAATGGCAGTATTTTAATCTGACTGAAATCAGATTTTCCACCATTAAAAGAAAAAATTATTTTGATTTTAATCTATTTTAATGAATTAAAAAAATTTAGCAATCGTTTTTAATAGATTAAATTTTGGTAATCGATTAAAAGAGATTTAAATCAAAATAATTTTTTCTGTTGATGCTGAAAAATCTAATTTAATCAGATTAAAATGGTGCCATTATAAGAGATTACTAATCCAAAAATAATTGATTTTAATCCAATTTTGAGTCGTTATTTTTTTACATAGGTCTTTCTGTTTCTTTTTCTTCTATTGATTCGCAACCTTGAAAAATAGATCTGCCCATCTAGAATTACATCTACATAATTCCAGCACAAGTGGATCAGTTTTTGATTTTACGACTTTCAAAACCTCGTGTCATTTTGAGTCGATCTTGCATAGGACGGGCGTCTGTCCTTTTCAACGTTTTATCGATCAGATAAGATGTATCTGTGCTGAAAGTTTCAGAACTAACGATTCGACCGTCTCAAGGAACACTAAAACTGGGCTATCATTAGAGATTCAATGAATAATTACTTGCCTTCATGTATTTTTCACACTATAGAACGAGAAGATCGAAGCGCTGTAAATATTGTAATAGAATTTTAGAAACAGGTGATGTTAGCAGCAGCCAAACACAAAATGCGAAAAATATAGCGTTGCAAACCAAAACCAGTTGTGCGTATCGGTCTATTTTCCAGTTCTTCTTGCTCAACTTTCTTACTTCCACCTAAAATATACAATTGTCAGGCTTGGGTGTGGGTGTTGGTGTGTGGATGTGTGGAAGTGGGTGTGGGTGTGGGTGTGTGTGGGTGTGTGTGGGTGTGGGTGGGTGTGGGTATGGTGTGGAGGTGCTGATTAAGAGAAGACTAACATCTACACGCATACCCACACCCAGCGACGTATTTAGGGGTGGGAATAGGGTGACCGATCCCCCCCCCCCTCCTAACATGTTTAAATACCTGAAGGGGGGTACGGGTTTATTATTTTTCCCAACTTGAAAATTACCTTTTTTCTATGACGATCCCCCTCCCCTAAAAAAATTCTTGGATACGTCGCTGCCCACACCCTCAAATAGGAATTATATGAAAAATAAATCACTAAATGGATGCTCTAATGATAAAAATTACAAAATTAACAGAAAAGTAAGTGACACGAACATAATAGAATTGAACTGAAGACAATAAGAAAAATATGCATTTGAACATATGAATAAACGATACGATTATAAAAATAAACTTACCAAATTGAAATATTTATTGAGTGACGATATGGCAATATGAAAACTAACTATAACCAAAATAATGTCAATGTTCAACTATTCAAAAGCAATGAGAATTATTATTCTCTAGCACACACTACTACTGCTTGATATCACACAAAAATAATTCATATAAAAGTGTCTTTTCTTCATTGTCTCCATGAATAAATTTATATTTACATTCTCTTATCTGATAAGAAAACGTTTCTTTGAATATGTTGCAAAATGGTCTTATGACTCATTGCAAGAAAAAAAAACCCAGCAAATCAAAGAAATGATTGGTAAAATGGAGTCATAGATGCTGACGATGATGAAATAAAAGACTAAAATATTCTCAGTATTGATGCATAATATTTTGAATCGTATGGTTTAATCTAAATCTATGAATGCAAAGAAAGACATCAAAATGTCATTATAACTATGATCAATATCCCAATGAATCGGAATATGGGTGCGAGTTTTGACTTATACGATATTCAAACCTTATCAACAAGAGCCCACAGAATTCAAATATCAAAACTCTTGAGGGTGTGGGTGTGGTATTCTATCTTCTCTCCAGCCACACCCACACCTCAGAAACGCGTTTTATTCAATATCGAACAAAAGAAACAAATAGTTTACAATACATTTAATCAATATCTAAAACTAACAGAATATTTCTCAGAGCGTCAATTACGAAATGACGGATTGCCATTATGTTGGGAGGCTAAAAATGGTAAATATCCATTACAAGTCGTCATGTCTGCGTCGTCTGAAGAATATTAGACAATCTTACATGATTTCAAATCGTCAATGTCAGCAATAAGCATCGGTGACGTAGTTTGCATTCAATGAATTCAGAATGAGCGATGGCATTGGCAATACCTAATTGAGAAAAAACACTTAAATGGTACTTTGGAGCAAGATACGCAACGTATTTTCTATCATGGATGTTCGGAAGACGAAAAAATCCTTGATTCAATTATAGAACATGGCTTCGATCGCAGTCGAGCTGATAGAGAATACGGTAAAACCTTTTCATTCAGCCTACATACACATAAATGTCTAGAACTATGTTTATTTGATAGGCACATGGTATGGTCATGACGTTTATTTTCATAGCAAAGCAACGGAGAGCCACCGCTGGAAAGATTCGGTAAGGATGACTATACTCTGTCAAGCCAGGTTATCTATGTAGTTTTGATCCTCAAGTTTTGCATCGCAGTCGAAGTACCACAGAGCTACTCATAGCTGCGAAATTTTTGTCTGAAACACGCACAATTGTGGCGTTGTGGTTATTGTTTTTCTATATCGAGGAATCGTTACGCACATCATGCTGCAATTACACGTATCTGTGGCATCGGCAATTGTGTCGCAGTTAACAAAAGAATACATCACTTGAATCTGATAATATATTTGACGAACAATACCATATGTCAAGCCTAATCGAACGACAGGAGAATGTATGATGTTTGTATATACCGTTTTGATTCGCAAGCCTGTTCAGGGAAAGCCAAATATGCGTGTGTGTCCTAAAGGATATCATTCGACGATTGATGGCTCTTCCATCTACGTTGTTTATCGAGATGCTCAAGTGTACTCAGGTTATCTAATATATTACAATTAGTCCTCCAATCGATAGATAATAAAAAAAATCTGTTTATCATGGATAAATATAAAACTAATGAAAAGAATTGTATTACTCATCAATAGATTTGTGAGACAGAAATAATGTATGTATTGTATAGGACGTCAGAAGCATTTGAACATGATCGTCATATGAACCGACCTTCGACATCGAATGAAAGTACAAACGTAGTAACGGATAGTCTGAAAGAGTGTGTGAGTGTGGATTTGGTAGTGTGAGTGAGGTATGGGTGTGGTTTTGGTTGTTTCTCTTTTCCAGCCACACCCACATCCACCATTGAAACATACTGTTAAATCTAGAGATTGATAATTTGCTAGGGCGTCGACTATGAGTATCTATAGGTATAGGCAGTATAAATTGAGAAATTTTCTTATTCATGTATAGTTTTAATGAACTGAATCTATCTATGTAGAGACCTATGACAACTTGGTAAAATTCGTCTTGAGATAGAAAAATTGTGAATGATTCTCATGTTCTAGGTAGAGATCTGCAGAACCAATTTTTTTCTTAGTTTCAAACCTGGTCTGATCGTCGTACATCCTTCTGTAAAATGCCAGTTTATGTTCCCGTTAAATTCTGTTTGGTACGGGTTTCTTTCATTAATTCAGTTCAAGAATGCAATGGTTTCAGTCATTGCTTCTGGATTTTGCTGTGATGGATCTGATTTCTGACACAATCCGCTAAGAATGTTAGAGAGCTAAACAAACAATTTTTAGTGTCGGTTCAAGCAGATTTTTTTCTTACAGTTTTAGTCCTATTCTGATCAATCTTTACTTTTTAGTTCTACACCTATTTTCTCTGATTGCTACTTGGTTTATCAAATTTCTATTGTTAATTTCAACATTATAGCTTTATAGTGATTAGAAGATGCCTTGAATAGCTTCGAATCTTCATAAAAACAATGGAACTTCAAATCTATATGCTGTTCTCACAATCTGAGATCAGGTAACATCACTTGATCAAGACTATATCTCAATATACTAAAACATGAGAAACAGTTGAGTTGTTAAATGATTTACAGAGTTATAATAAAAACAAAAAAATCTCCTCTTTTTTTCACCCATCTTCCATCACTATAGTGTTCATAAAAGTTTATTTTTATCATTTTTCATTCTAATTTTTTTTATTCTACAATTCAATAGATCAGCCATAACATCGTAAGAGGTGAAATTCGCTGAACTACAAACATTATCAGATAGAGTGTGGATATTCCTTCTATCTACACCCACATCCACACCTTCTTATCCCATTAAATTGTTATTTTCTACATTGAGTCTTTTCAGAAACTCGAAATAAAATATTTTGGGAAAATAAAATTAATGAAATATATAAGAAAATGATAATATTCCAGCTATGTTTTACAAAATAACATCGTTTTAAAACCATTTCAGGAAAGTAGTATTTTCGAATTTTTTTTAAAATAAAAACCGGTCTAAACATAGTAAAAATAATATTTTTACAGGTAACTCGATAAGCTATATTCAACTATGTCAAAATATCGACAAAAAATTCTGTTCATATTTTGACTTATCGACACCTTACTTCGATTTGTGTCGCCATCTATTCAGAGCATTAAATTAATTGAAGATAACAACTTACTCTATTGTCTGAAGATAATTTTTTAATTTCTTCTATCTTTTAAACTTTAAATTAGGGACAATCATCACAGATTTCCATTGTAATGTATTGTGCATCAAGTCTAAAGTCACTTAATAATGGTATCTGATCATCCAATAAAAAAGACAGTTATTATTTACTGATATTTGCATCATAATTTTATCAAACAAAGATTATTTGTTCGTAAAGTACGAATTTAATGTTTTATTTTAAGAAAAGTCAAAGATCTTAGGGTTCACTTTTATCATTGTATGAATAGAATGTGTCTACTTTGAGCGATTTTTTTTAGTTATTATATACGATGGCAAGTCATGATGAAACAATAATGTTTCGTGATCGAGTTGATGCTGGTCGTCGATTAGCAGCTCACAGTGAATTACAAAACGTGAAATCATTATCACCCAATGAAAAAGATTCACATCTTGTTATTAGTTTACCACGTGGTGGTACAGTTGTCGGCGATGAAGTTGCTAAACTATTGGGAATAACTCATGATTTAGTATTTCCAAGAAAAATTCCATGTCCAGGACAGGAAGAATTTGCTATTGGTGCTGTATCAGAATTTGGCAATGTTTTTTGGAATGATTATGCTAAAAAACATAATCTTATTAATGATCCAAATGTACAAGAGAGTAAAAATAAACAAATTGAGGAAGCTCAAAGACGAAAACAAATTTATCGTGGAAAACGTCAACCAATAAATGATTTAAGTGGAAAAACAGTTATATTAGTCGATGATGGATTAGCTACAGGTACTGATTTAAATATACAGCAAATGATCTAGATTTTCGATAAACATTAGGCTTTTTTTTCGTCATTTTAATAGTACACTATTTCATGAAGTCTTAGATAGATCTGAGGTACATGATAACACATTTAAAAAAAAAACCGTATTGTACTCATTTTTTATGCTGATAATAAACAAAACAATGGTTCTGGTAGAGTAGGTAACCTATAGTGTAAATAACGAAAGACAGAAGATATTTGATAATCGCTGTAAAAATCATCTCAGTCAAATAATCGTCGAGATTGTGTGAGCTGTCGATTTATTATTACAAACCATATTCAGACACAATACGGCAATATGACACTTTTTTTGATAGCTCATTGATACTCTTCATGACACCCATTCGATTTTATTTCGTTCGTTGAACAAGATTAAATCAAATAGATGATCAATGAATTATCAGAAAGCAGAAGTCATATCGTCATGCTGTGTCTGAACATGGTTTGTGATAATAAGCTGAAAGCTCGCACAATCTCGCCAGTGGAATTGTATCACTAAAAAAAAATGGTTTTCATTGCGTTTTAATAATTGGTGTTGTTTTTTTTCTGTTGTTGTTAGGTGCAACAATGAAATCAGCTATACATACTTGTAAGCATTTGAATGCTAAATCAATAATTGTTGCTGTTCCATGTGGTCCTGCTGACACTATCGAGGAAATTCGTCCATCAGTTAATAAAATAATATGTCTGACAATACCACATAATTATTATGCTGTTGGACAATGTTACAATTCATTCTCACAAACAACTGATGAAGAAGTTGTTCAAGTCATGAAAAAATATCAAGATTTAACTAATACAAATACTCAACGGAGGTATGTAGTAAACATTCGTAGAAGTAAATGGAAATGATCATCAAGATAGATATTAGTGAGACAAAAGAATTTTCTTTAAATAGGACAATTCTGAACATAACTTGATCTCACTCAATTGTCTTTGCTTTACGTTCCTGAATGGCCTCAATACTATTGTTATAGATACAACCTGTGCTTGAGAGAGCTGTCTACAACGTTTTTTTTTTGATTTTCTAGAAAAATTTTTGTTACTTTTTCACTATAGTTAAGAAAATATTTGAATAGTCAGAAAAAAAAATCACCGAGTCCTAAATGACGAAAAGGTCTCTAGAAAATTTCCCTCGATCATAACTTACTCTTCAGATTTTGTAATATTTTTTTACAAGGATAGAAATGATTCTAAGATTCAGGGCGAGTTTAAAAATAAATTCTGAAAAAATTAGTTACATATTAAGTACAAAAAGTTTATTATTTTATGTTGAAGTTTTAGAAGAAAAGTTCTTGTCTTTTATGACTTAAGTGTAAACAAAAACACAAATCCTTTTGGAATTTTTCTTATGACAATTAGTCCTATCGATGGCAGCGACGACGATGTCAGACAATTATTGTCCATTTCAAAATAAAAGACAAGTTGCCATTTTTTGAATAAATTTTGCTGAGTAGATAATATAGGTCTGCAGCTTTCATCATTTGGAAGAGCGATGTTCAGACTATCGATCCATATACTATTCATTAGAACGAAAGGTGTTTTTTTTTTCATAGAAGCTTTTCGATTGACATTCGTTCCCTAGTGTATTTTCATAATAATCTCTGCTCAAATTACACTAAAATATAGTTCAAATCATCCGTTTTTTTTTGCTATAAAATTACGACATTTTTCATTATCTCGTCGATCTCTTTTTCCAAGCAGACTTTCAAAAATGTTGATAATTTTATAGCGAAAAAAGGGTGATTTGAGCTACATCTAGGCATAATTTTGAGTAGAGATTATTATGAAAATACATAAGGAAAAGAATGTTAATGGAAAGGCTTCTATGAAAAAAAAAGCATCTTTCGAATGATGAAAACCACAGATCTATATCTTGTAGCCAGCGAAAATTATTCAAAAAATGGCAATCTGCCTTTTACTTTAGAACAGACAATAGGAATGTTTTCTCATAAGGTGTAACCCAAGAACTTGACGAATACCACATTTAGAGATCACAGCAACAGTATAATCTTCGCTCTTTTCGTAATTGGTTCTGTGTTCTTAGTAGAGTAGTTCGTTAAATTTTTAAATTTTGATTTTTACATTCTTGACGTCCACCTTAGATAAAAATGTGATCGAAAAAAGTTTTCATGGATAAATCAGAATCGAAAACTGAGCAAAATGGGTTATTTCGATTTATGTTTTTTAGAAAAAGTTTTGAAAATCTTTTCATCCTGAGAATTGAAATATAAACTCTAGAAAAAATATTCTTTTTTTAAATTATTTTAGTTAATTATTGGTGGTACTGATATAGATGTAATCCAAATGAACAAAGAAGTTTATTCACAAATGATACAATTGAACAATGATGGAATAAATATCGAAACTAGCTACATAATAAATCAAAGAAAATTTCCAAAATCTTAGATTTAGATTCAGCATTATGGACAACCTTCAAATGAAACATTTCATAATTATTCCAGCTCGTTTGAATCATATTTTTATTTATTTAAAACTGATTATGTGAGAATGTTTATCTGTGTACAATTATTTTTTCATACATTATGTAAGAATAAAATATTCTTTTTGCTGATCTTTCATCACTCGTATTCTTCATAGCTGTTTGAAAACTTATCCTTTTCGTTTGCGTTTAGTGGTTTTTATCGATATGAAGACGAATTGGACGGATGTTGGATCCAAACGAAAAAATAATTTTGAAAAAAGCTAAAATGGATATGAAACGTCACTTGTCATAAATTGGATCCGTAGCCATCGCTGGAGACAGGCATCGTCATTATTCAAACTTTGAACACTTGAACTCGTACTCTCTCTTTTCAATCTCAATAGACTTGTTTTTCTTCATTATTTTCATCTCAAACGTATGGCATTCTGTACACAGCTTAGTAATATTCGATTCTGCAAGATCATATCAATTGTGTATGGACATGAGGAGTCACAAAGGAACTAACATTAAGGATATTGATGCACAATCAGATATAATATGTCAGATGGGGTAATAATAGGACTTTTCTCTCAGTATTATAGTTGTCCTTCTATAATGATAGGACATGAGAGGATAAAATTCAAATAAACAATATCTTCGAGAAGTCAAGCATTCTTCTAATCGTTTTAAAAACATACGTATAATCGAAGTGTGTTCATAGACACAGATATTTTTATGCACTTGAAATATACTCTTTGAAGCAGGATTACGTTTCTTATGGGTGTGGGTGTGAGTGTTATGTGTGTGTGTGTGTTAATACTATTTTATATTTGAGAAATTATAACAAATTTATTAATATCAAAACATTATCGAAGCTTTGAATATCTAAATAAAATTAAAGTTGAATATTTTAAAAGAAATTCATAAATATTTGTTACATTTTTAAGTTGTAAATAATATATAATGAGAATTTATATGAATTATTTCATTTTGAAAATATATATATATAAACTATGAGAGAAATGTTAAATTTAAAGTCAGTTAAATAGATAATTCTATGTAATAATGGCATATTGGATATCTTATTTAGTGAGTGTATATATCAATACTAATAGTTTCATGACACAATCATCGAATATGTATATCAACTCTTGTTTAAAATAACCATTAAGATAAAGATATGATGAGTAATGTTAATTGTCTAATAACTCTAATGAATATATCGGTACTGTGTGTATAAAGTAAATATGGAGGATCGAATATTTTTCATGAAGTCTCAAGAAAATATTGCTGTCATAATATAATAAGTGAGTGAAGGAACTATAGGTTGCATCTAGTTGATAATGCTTATATAGTTTACAAGGATATATTAGACAGAGAATTGTTCACTTCAATCATTTAATTGAACGAACTAAGTATGAAATACTTACGGTGTGGGTGATGATGCGTGTTTCTATTCACCGACACCCACAGCCACACTCTGAGTAGGTCTTCTCTTCATCCACATCCAAACTCTGTAGCACAATGTTCACAATGATCTCTATAAGAGCGAATCAATAATGAAATACTGTCGAAACAACAAAGACATTCCACCAAATGTCATTAAAAAAGTGAAAATCCAGAATGTACGATGCAATTTATTATAGGCAACACCGATATTACACAGACGGTACGTACTGGTGTTAAACATGTAATCAGTAAAGATTGAGAACTGTCATCGTCCAATGAATGGATGGGATGGAAATCTTTGAATTGTTTCATCCATTTCAACTAATTACCTTATTTTTCATATATTGATATGAGATGTATATCGAAAATTTTCAACAATTATTTGAACAAAAGAAGCAGACTCAGAGACTTAGTGTGTGAATGTGGATGTGGGTGTGCACTGGAGCGTGGGTGTCAGTGAAGACAATACCTACCCCCACATCCTTAATTCAAGTCAACATTTTTTCAAATATCGAATATCAGATTAATCGATTTGAATTTCATCATTATGTCAAATCCAACAAAAATAAACAAAAAAACTTTCATATCTAAAATCTAGAAAAGCTCTCCAATTACATTCAATATTTGTCAAATATGACTCCATAAATTCTCAGACAACACCAAAATCCAAAAGACAATCATTTCATTATTCACAAAATCAAAAGGTTTCTAATGTGATAAAAAATTTCATCAAAAGAACGAACAGATACTCAATCGAATACAGAATCTAATCATTCAGAAACACTTAAAGCTAAACATTTAAAAAAGTTTTTCAAACTTTCGTCATCATTTTTGTCATGTCAAACATCAATCTATCAAATCATCTTTAACAACTCTCTCTAGTTATTGAAATTATTGATATTCGTCTTGCATTAATAAATCCATATGTTCAAAATGATTTTATATAAAAACTTCGGCAAAATCCTTTAAATTTTCCACAATTAGTTTATCATGGTACAAAACTATCGAATATTTCAAGTATTTTTCATTATAGATTTCTTATATTAAATCAATCACATCCAACAAATATTAAAGTACCTATTATTGTTTCTATACATGATCAATAATATGGCAAAAGTATTTATTGTAGTCAAACAGTTGATTATTCTTTATCATATATGAATAGCACAAATACTCTTTTAGCATGTACAGCTATACTAAATTGTAATGAATGTGGAAAATTAGAAGGATGTCATGAAAATATTATAGTTTTACCGCATGTCTCACAAATTATCCTATTATTTTTAGTTGATTTCAAATATTTGAACTCTTCAGTAGCGAATTGCCATTGGTATAAGAGACGAAAAAAAATAAAATAAAGAAATAAAAAAATCTTTTGTTTTATCAAGAAAATATTTACAAAAAATGCTCAATAATATAAATAATCAGTATCAATCACGATTATTTGATTTATTCTATTGATATTTTTTATAATTAATAAATAAAATCTATCACGTACTGTTTAAAGTTCATTTGAGATAAACAGCGAAGTCTATTTACTCAAATTTTAGTTCAATTTTCTGCAACTTGGATGTCAATAGACAAAATGGAAAGTATTTGCAACTGTTTTTATTTTATGTAATTATAGAAATTTGTTTTAGTTTTGTTTTGTGAAATGCAAAAGAAGTCGAGACATTGTTATCATATGTAAAGAGAGAAGTAAATTCATATTGTGTACAGCGGACTTCGCCCTACAAATTGATATTTAAAAAATTTCTATCATTCACCATTGGAAGAGCTTTAACCATATTACAAAAATTTAAAAAAAACCATGGAAAAATTCTGTACACACGTCTCAGTTTAAAAAATTGAACAAACATTTTGTATGAAGACATTCACTTCATAGATTATTTCATCTATTGCACTCTCTATTTGGCAATGCAACATTTGATTACTCAATTCACGTATCAAACATGCAGAAATCCTCAGAAAATGACACACAGTAAGAATTAACGTGTTGAGATTACAATATGCTAAATAATTAAATACGATCTACTAAAATTTTATGTTAGAAATCTCCAAAGACGAAAAAGGTTGTCTCTGAAAATATAAACCATACAGTTTGTATTTTTCTGATGTTTTGTGTTGTCACACCATACTTTATTTGCATAGTTAATTGACGCATCTACTTCTAGCAAGTGAAACAAACAAAACGATTCTTACTTTAAAAGGAGAAAAAATGAAACAAAAATAGAATTTTCTTTCTCTCCTGTGTTGCAGAACAAGCAGCCATGACCAGTTTCGACCTTGCTTAAGGGTCTCATCAGATGACAGGTTCTTAATGCAGTCATACATTTTAACACTGTATCTCCTCTATTTTGTAGGGATTGATTGCAGTTTCGTCGTCATTTTACAATGGTGATTTTAAATAATGTCATCTGATGAGACCGTTAAGCAAAGTCGAAACCGGTCATGGCTGCTTATTATGATGTTTGAAAAAAATCAGCAGTGCAAGATTTTATGTTTTGCCATAAGAATGTCTCGAGTTAGAATTTTGACAAATAATACATCAGAATCAACGAAAATATAAAACATACTGAATCAATGTATCATATATTTTGATTTTTCTTTTCTTGTTCTGCCTCGAGTTTTTTTTTTAATGATTTCTTTCTCCGCACTTTTTCTATTTATTCATGAGATCATTATTCAGCAGGCATTTTTCTTTCAGCGATTTTCTATGGAAATTAACGAATGACTCAAAGAAAATAATGATGTCATCTCAATATTCGGCGACTATGCTTTGTTTCTTTTTTTTGTATATAGCAATGTAAAACAAGACATTGCATTCTCATTTGATTTTAATAAGTATAATCACAATAAACGATTGCACAAAAGTATATGCATCAAAAGATATTTTAAATATCATTTATAATTACAGAAAAATTGATTTTTGTTTATAGTGGAAAATATTGAATAATGTTACCTAAACCTTTTCAAGTCCGTCTCTATATTATCCGGCATGCAGAATCAGAAATCAATGCTGCCTCTACTCATATTTGCGGTCAGAGTGTTCCATGTATGTTAAGTTCACTTGGTAATGAACAAGCAATATTATTAGGTAGAGTTTTATCATAGACATACTTCTTTCTTATTATTGTTTTTTTGGTTCATAGGCAAACGTTTAAAATATCAAAATATCAAATTTGATTCTGTTCTATGTTCAACAGCTGTTCGTGCACAACAAACAGCAGAAATTGCATTAAAAACCATGAATATTGACACATCAAAATTAATCATTTCAAGTGAACTTCTAGAACAATCTCAAGGTAGTTGGGAAGGTATGAGCCGAGCATTAGCTTTTACTCCAGAAGTAATACAGCAGTGGAATGAATTACATTTTGAATTCTGTCCTCCAAATGGTGAATCAAAACGAATGGTACAAAAACGTGCTTTGGCTTATCTAGAACCAATTATTGAACAAGCAAAAAATCAAAGTCTACGAGAAAATCGTGGAATATCAATTGGTATTTTTACACATGGAAATTTAATACGATCTGTATTACAATATTATTTACAAAGTAATCCAAAATATGTATGGCTTATTCAACAAAATAATACATCAATTAATGAAATTCTATTAAATGAAAATGGAATATCTGTGGTTAAAATAAACGATGATAGTCATTTGAGATTTTTTATTCCAGAAATACACAGTGAATCATTAGACAATAATGATTATGAACAGATAAATATTTAATGTTTTTTCTTGTTTGATAATTTGAATTAATGAAAAACGTAATAAATATATCGGTTTTGTTTTAAATCGTAACTATTGTCAAAGAAATGTACAAGAGACTTCTTACTTGAAACTATTTCAATCAGAATGTGAGTATAAATAATTGTTTCTCTGACACACATACAAAATTACCTCCCATCATAAATCAGTACATATAATTCTAACGTTTTTTGACTTATTCAGTCGTTTGTCCATCGTGTCGCCATTTTTATACTAAAGGGTGTGGGTGTTGGTCTTAGTTGCACACATTCACACCTACAGTCATACCGAACAAAACTTCTGGCAGTTGAATATGTATATAAATGTTTTTCTCTGATGTCGAAAATCATCGAAACATTTCTGCTTTTTATTGCAGCGTAAGACGACAGCTCTCCTTATCTTTTAATACTTGATAAAGCTTCAACTACAAAGATATGAAATAATCAAGACTCTTTCGTGCGTAGTAAATATTTGTCGTCTTTTAATCATAGCTTTTCTTTGACGATTTTACTTTGTCTCACAATCATATTCACTTTCCTCAGACTAGTCTTGACTTTTCTGTTTTAGTGCGTTTGATCAATAGTAATGACTGAATGTGAAAACTTACGCGTCGGTCGCGAGTTTCTCGATAGTCAATCATGGCCTACCACGTTGCGTAATCCAGTCCATGATCGATGCTATTGCAATCGATGCTATTCGTCCATCTGGACAGATACACTAGTTGTAGGTGGTTACACTTATGTCATTCCAAGAGGATGGACTCGTTTTGGAATCTATATCGATGAGAGATTTGCTAAACATCATAATGTATGGGATAAATGGGCGAATTGTTTCCATGGAACGAGTATCGAAAATGCTAAATCAATTGTAGAACATCGACAATTCCTATTACCTTGTGATGTAACTATGGAAGGAAAAAAATAACAAATACGCGAAGGTCACATTCCTGAAGAATAGTATTTGTTTACTACGCCGACAATACACTATGCTGAACACGATGCTTACACTGACACTTATGAATTCAGATCACGTCTAACTAATAAACTTTATAACATTAAGGTAGCATTACAGTGCAAACAAAAGCCAGGCTCGTTTATTGTTCAAGCAGAGACGGTCGAGGCAGAGAAAGAACAATACAGAATATGCCCCCATATACCAAATGAAGAAATAGAATGGAAAACACAAAATCGGTCAGTTGTTATGGCTTACGGAGTATTGCTTAAAGTAGTAAATAAGGACGATAACAATTATTATCGTGAACTCGAATCTCCAATGGTGATCAGGGCGAAAAGTATGCGAAAATCTTGGTTAGAAAAATAGTAGCATCGTCTTAAGTCATGAACAGAAAGGAAGCGAGAAGACTTGTTGTTTTGTAGAAGAGATTGACAAATACGAGTGAACTTAACAGACATAATTTAATAGTTTTGAGCGATATCGTAGTAAATTTCGACGTTTTAAGTTCGAATCTCAGAATCATATGATCTCCAATTGAGCATTACGATAAACAGAAACGGCCGCATACGGCTAAAATACGTTGTTGTATACGGTGCCGTATTACTGCATTCAATATTAGGAGAAAATATGAACATTAAACGGTCGTAAAGTAGTCGTTTTTTTTCATCGTTTGCTGACGAAAAATGGGCCATAAAGAGTATCCTGTTTTGATCGACCTGGGTAGATCGAGCACTACGATAATTAGAAGTGGCCGTATACGGCCATATTCGGCAAAAATACAGCTCTATCTTCGCCGTCTTGATATGTTCCTAACACCGTATCGAGTCGCCGTATTGTTATGCTAAGTGTTTACAGTGACCTTTTGCTACCATTGTTTACGATGGCCATAACTCACTGGTGTACGGTTGACGATGATTGAGCCGAGATCTCAGACTTTTTAGGATCATAAAATTTAAGCTGTTTTGGAGAAATATACTCAAGATCTTTTCTGTTTTCCAACGAGAAGAAAACACAATTAGTTTTTGACACAAATGGAATAGTTTTTGGATAAAATCAAAAATATCTTTGTTTACATTTTAAAAATTCTGATTTCCTTTGAGTTTGCAATTTCTTTGGGACCGATTGATGCATCCTAAAACAAATATTACATAATGAATCCTATCGCAGCAGGAAAGTCCTTAAACTAACGTATTGTAACACTATATTATATGCTGTTAAGAATTATGTGAAAAAAGAACTGATTTTTTGATAAATATATAGAAACGGAACCTAAATCAAGACCGATTTCAATTTTGACTCCAGCTTCACGAAATGAAACACGAGTCAATGTTCCAAGCAGGCCAATAAATTCAGTCATCGTTATTGAAGATCAGCAAGATCGAAAGAAAAAGTGTATAAAAAAAATAGCAATCTTCAGCTTTTTTCTCATGTTAACTTTCTTGCCAATCGCTACACTAACGATGGGACTAATTTACAAGAATGATTGTCCAATCCAACCATGGATTCCACGATGGATGCTTTTTTTTGGAGCTGTCGGTATAGGTGGTTTCGGCATAATATTCTTCATAGTGAGAGTTTTTGTGTTATTTATTCTATAAAGTAACATATTCATTCATAGATTTTAATAACTTTCATACGATGCTCCGATAATAAAGACACTGGAAACGCTATCAGTGGTTGCGTTGGATTTTTATTGCTTCTATTTTTGTTTGCATGGTTAATAGCGGTAAAGAATATCGCGCTTTCATAGAAATTCTCTGTCGAAACAACTGTTGATCTCCTTTTTTTTGTGTACAGGGAAGTGTTTGGACTTTTCGTGTTAAGTCAAAAGTTCAATTCAGTCAATCGGATTTAAAAAATTATTGTCAAAAGAAACTTTACAATTTTGCATTCGGATTTTTACTTGCACAATATGGATTAATTGGATTGCTCATATGTTTGCTTGGTACTGGCCTTTTGTGCAGTAAATGTCTTTGATAATGTTAAACATTGTATCCAATGATCGAATATTAGTTCTATCAAAGAAATGTTACAATACATCAACTATGTATGGAACGCAAAAAACAACGATTTTTTAGTTACTAATGAAGACGTATAGCGACGATCAAAATTGATCGTACATATAAGGGTTAAATTTATATCCTGAATACAAGTTGTAACTTTTGTCCAAACAGAATTCTGTAAGGGGCTTGTAGACATCGAGTGTGGGTATGTAGGTGTGCATGAAAAGAAAATAAACACCCACACCCTCAGTGTAAGGATAAATGTACAGATAATACCTAAATTAATCCTTTTTCATCATCTATTTTACAAAAAAAAACCATGAAATAAAACTAGTGTTGCTTCCACAAAAAATAGCAAGTACGCTTATCTAGAACCTTATGATAATTTGGTTACTGAAAAGGAACTGCAGTGGAATTTTAATGTAATGATTTTGATTTTTATGCAAAAGTGATGAAAATAGTATGATGATTTTGATGTCAAAATTATAAGATGAAAAGTATGAAAAAATAATGTAAGTAAAAGATGAATTTTGATGTTCTATTATAAATGAAATACTAAGAATGAAGACGGTATAGAAGTATTCATATTAATGTATTAACTTTGATTTTTCAAAACAATTAGACTTATGAAATAAAAATCATATGAACCTAATTAAAATAATTGAATGATTGTGACTTTTTCGAAATAACCAAATTTACAAATTTTGTTAAATGAATATTGAAAATAATTATTTCCATACATTTTTTTTTCAGTGTCCTATAATAATATACATACCCCGGAAAAACCTAGAATTCTAGAATTCATACACCACCTTGTATCACCATGTCCCACCTTGGGTGTGGGTGTGAGTAAATAGTAAACAATCACACCCACACCCTTTACGAATAAGAACAAAACAGAGACGAAAAATAAAGACTTATTAACTTTATTTTACAAATAGGAAACAGATAATGTTCATGAATATAAGCTTGAATTGTAATTGCCATTCTTGACTAAATGGCAAGGAGAATTCCTGGTTTGAGAAGACGTTGTACTTCAGTGTTAGACAGGACCAGTACCGACAGTGAATGCAGTTGTACAAGCTGCTACGCATGCTGTTTGCCCTGCACTACAAGCGGCGACAATAGCTGGTAGAACTGGTAATCCCACTACAACAGCTAAAAAATAAAAAAAACTTAGTGAAATCTTTGACGAAACCTCGTCGGCAACGGTAGTTTTATACTATTTACTTCCTCCACCCCCGACGCCAACACATGCTAGATATCCAACAAAGCAAGCTGAATTGCATATTACTGACCCACCAAGAAATCCTAACAAACCTCCATAGCATCCGCTAATCAATATATTTAAAGCAATCAACAATGTGATCAAGAATTTTTCAGGAACCATTCGATCTTTTACTTTCAATAAAACGATGAAGGTTGTATCGGAATATACAAAACCAAGTGGACACAGAATGACTTACCAATTTTTCTCTTTGTTCAAGGACTTGCTGTTCTATTGTTAGTGAACATCTAGTAAATACGAAAAGACGAAGAATTTTCTAGTGAATGAATGAAATTTATTCTAAAAAAGAGACTTAAAAGAAATTTCAATACCCTAAAATAGAAAAACTTGACGGGAGAAGAAGGCTACTCGTACAACAGCGTCGATATGCTCTTTCTTTCTAAACGATGGATGCTGATATTTATATGAAAATATGATTCACACTAGGAAAAAAACCAGCAAGGAATCAGAAAAGTCATTGATGATCCATTCATGAGCTTCAGAAGAAATAGAGAGAAAGCTTCTTAACAAACGATGATGTTGGTTGAGATCATAAAGATGCACACGAGAAACCATAAAAACAGAGAAAAGACAACGAATATGTTACACACCATTCAAATCTCATTTTGCGCTAGACGGAACGGATGACTCATGCAATCATTGGCCATTTTCATTGCAAAAAATTGTCACTTTTGTAGTTAGTGATGCAACGTTCAAATGAGCTAAAAACAGTAAAGCATCACTCATACATTATTCCCTTGTTGATGTTATGAAAACTTTTCGTTCTCGCTTCCCAAAAATCGGAGAAAAAGTAGGTGGCAGATCAGCAGAAAAGATTCAAGGACATTAATGAAAAAGTCGTGCTTCAGTATCCAAGAGACGATACACCTCGAAGAAAAAAATTTCCAAGACTGACAAAGAACCAGAGGAAAATTAAATGACCAACACATTTTCAATTGGGAAGAGAATTTTGATGACACGAACCAGTGCCACTTGATGAGATCTTTGACCAGATCGAAATCCGGATCGTGATAGTCTATTCATTCTACTCACACCCACACCCTCTCATCCTCACCCTCAAGATATCAGCCTTAACCTCATTGGGTTTCAAGTGTATGCCTGATTCAATTTCTTCTAGTTAGATATAATAGGGATTAACACACAAAATATACTACAATCTATTTCATTCTACTTTAAAAGTAAATATATAAACGAGAATGACGACGCAACAATGTTGAAACAAAAAAGTACCATCCGTAAACGTAAAACGAGTGTCGTATGAAATCTACGAGAACTGTAACATTTCCTCGACCCTTGACAAGTCATTTTGACGCTGTCTTAGGTTAGTTTAAAAAAATTACGATTTTTTCAAATTCGTTGAATTTTAGCTTCCATATAGCACCATTTTTTTTTTGGAGAACAAAATTCTTCTCTAATCGATAGCAGAGCGAAGCCTGCTGTTGATTATTGAAAAAACACAACACGTTTATTTTGTTTTCTTCTTTCTGTTGTTCTTGAATACTGCAGATGAGAGAAACACGACGATTGCTTCGGTACCATGGTGCTCGTAAGAAAAAGCATAATGGATTTAATGTGTTGTTCCCCAGAGGCACGAACATTTTTCAATGCGACGAAAATGAATCGAAACGATCACTCTGAAGGGTGTAGATATAGGTGTGGGTGTGTGATATGGGTGTGCGGATGTGGGTGTGAGTGTTCCTCAATCTCTTTACTACCACACCCACACCCTAGTTAATTTAAATTCTCATTATCCAAATGCAAATACTGAATATGCACTTTAGGGAATCACACATTCTCAACTGTCATAGTGTTATTCGACAATCAAACGATTTCAATAAGGCAGATTCAAGAATATGTTGCTCATTTGAGTTTTATTAAAATAGTAGATAGCTATTATAGATTTCTCATCAAGACTCTAGTAAACTAATGTAGAATTGCATCGATATGTTTTAAAAAATTTCAATGGTATATAATGATCATTCAAAGTATCAAACAACATTATGTCGCAATACATTATTTTATTCTCTATTTTACAGCATCACAAACCATTACTCATACTGCTGCATAGGTAAACAACAACTAACACAAAAGTGTCGTAAAAGCGTCGCAAGTATATGATTGCATGTCACTGAGCGAAAAAAGAGAAAAGCCGTACATAATGCATGTGCAAATATAGTTAAAAACACAATCAACCATTTTTTTTCTTTTTTTATATTTTATCTTGAAATGAAATAAATGGTATGTATCGTAATAGTCAAAATAACGATTATAGAAATTATTCTCATCTACCTCCATCAATTTCAACATATTCACGAAATACTGATCATCAGTATTATAAACCACGTTCACGTACTGCACAAATCATTTCTTCAAATACAACATTAATTCCCGCATTTACTTCACCAAGTTTTCCACATCAATATCAACTATCAACGACCACTTCGAATTTAGAAGAACCAATATCGATTTTTGATAATCAAAAACCTCCTCCACATCGTCGATATACTATTGCTGGTTTTCCACCAGTATATATACCGCCGAATCCGAGTCGACGTTTATCAGTACATGATGCACGTCTTATGGCAGCAAGTGCTACGCGCCAACGATTATTAACAGATATTCAACGGAATATCAATGAGATTGATCGAGAACTATCTTCATTACCACCAAAATGTTCAATTCCACGTTATATTCCACCTCGTTTTTCATCGTTTGCAGATGTACCACAGACATCATTTCATCAAAAAACTCTTTCACCAAATAATGAAAATCAAATTTTGCCATATAGACCGAAAAGCATTTATAAAGTTATTCCACATATAACAAGTGAATCAACAAAGACATCTCAACATTCAACTCCAAAACTAACTGATCGAAATACTTTACAGTCATTTATCGGTCAATATCATTATGGACTAGAAATTGAAGACAATGAAATTCTTGAAAAAGATTTAGAAAATTTAGATCTTAAATCACTTGTTGATGAAATATCTCAATTCAATTCCCATGAAATACTTTCTCTTGATGAATTTCGTCGTGAACAATCTGATTTAGCACAAAATCGTGCATTAGTTTTAGTTCCAGAATATGGTGATGATAATAAAAATACAATTAATGAATCAACAACAGAAGATATTCGTCAAAATAACTCAACCGATACAAACATGGGAAGCAGAACGTATAGACTAGATAGGCTTGAGTCTCATCAAGATTTGCCACGATTAGACTCAGTCTCACCAGAATTAACTGTGTTAGACAAAATTAGTTGACTAATAAAGTCAACATTTTAAACTTTTATAAAGTGTTTTTATTTTCTTGCGAAGAAAAGAAATAAAAGATGTTGACAACTAAATTTTATCAGTTAGTCTTAGCACTTAGCAGCATCTTTTATATTGTCATCAGTCAATATCTAGTTGTTATTACCATTGATATTGTATTCCTAAACAAATATGCAACTCTAATGTTTACATTTTAGCAAAGAGATCTGGTTAGCTCAGCTTTTGAGAAAATTCGTAATATAACAATTCAACAAAATAACAATGCATCTTGATCGATCACAAATGACGGCTATATTTTCTTTTTTTTTTGTCGAATGAGAGAAAATCAATCTCGACACATACACAGGATGGCCCATAAGTAGCGAAACCATAAAAAAAATTGGAATATGTCCACTCTGTTTTAATCAAATGAGCTATATTTTTTGTTAGTGATAGAGAAGTATTTAAAGCTTTTATGCATAAGAAAAACATTTAAAAATAGTGCTTTGAACTATAACTTTAGACTTGAAGGGTGTGGGTGTGGATGTAGTATGGGTGTGAGATGTGAATATTCTCTTAACATCTACCTACACTCACCATGCACCCACACCTACACTCTTTAGTGTTAAAAGATAGTGATTTTTGGACTGAGATCAAAGAAACATCCTTTCTCAGAGTAAACAGTTTTTTTTTGTTTAAATCAATTTTTTATGCAAAACAAACTTTATATTCGTGATCAGCATGGCCGATAACCTATATCTAGATCAAATTGAAAAGAAAAAAAAAATGTTGTTGTTTTTGCTCTCCTCCGTGAGGGTACTGGGGCAAAATTTTTTTCTTTTAAAAAGAATACATAGTTTTGTTCAAAATTTGATGCTAATTCTAACCATGTAATTTTATTCGAAAAATGCCGAGGCGGAAAAATGGCATTATCGCCACTTGTCCTTTCAGTAATTTTCTTTGTCAGAAACCTGAACACTGGTGTAAACGAAATATTAATAAAATACTTTGGAGATCATTTTTTTTTGACCCACCTGTTAAAGTGATTACTGCTGTTGATTCATCTTCTTAGTCAAACAAGAGGAGAAGCATAGCGTCAAGACAAGAATGTAAACAAGCGTTCATGCGTCAACTGTCAAGAGAGAAATGGAGAAAAGTGATCATCCATCTTATGTTTGTTTAGCATGGATGAGAAACTGATTTAGAAAATTTTTTATTGGACCGTATTACTCGCATAGTTTCCACGTCACTAATTACTTCGTGAAAGATCAATAGCAATAGAAACAAAAAGAATGTCATGAAGAAAAAAAAAACAAGCTTTTTTATGATTCACAAATGTTTGTTATATGTTGTCATACTTTTAGGAAAACCATAGGATGTCATGATGTCATCATCTTCTCTAATGCAAGGTTTTTTCCAATCACTATTACATTAAAATACCATGAGTTGAAACACAATATATTGCTCTTGTGCTATCATGAAGCATTCCCACTCAAACCTACCTATCAAAGTCTATTCTACTTCATACATACATCAATCATGCAAAAACCACCTCCACACCCACAACAACACGGAGGTCGAGATCGTGTTCGACACTGTACTTTTGCTAAAAAAGGAATTTGTCGATATACTGATAATGAATGCCGATACCTTCATATTCGTTGTTCAAATTATAATTCTTGTTTATAAGCGTGGATGTCCGTTGGCTCATGCATTCAGACGAGCAAACAGTATGTCTTCATTATTTTGTCGAAATGGTATTGATTGTTTCACATCCAATTGCAAATATCGACATTCTAGCGGATGCAATGCTTGTATTCATGGAATCAACTGTAAAAACTACGATTGTCAAGCAAACCATGAGCCTGAGCGACAACAACGATGTCTACATGCATATAAATGTAAGAATATCACATGTCCACATTTACGTCCAGTTGAAAACAACAATTTTCTAGATCTCAATTTAAATCTCGAGCAGATAAAGAATTCTTACCTATTCGGCTCGCGTTGTTATCAAGACGACTGCAAAGCAAATCATCCCCGTGATCGAACTTTACAACTACAAAGGGCGGCTTCAGCTACAGGATCAACTATGAACACAAAATCCGCGAAAATCATGCAAAGTATTGATCCAGTACTTGGTAATAATTCGAATAATGGAATACTTCCTGTACCATTGGTGAAAAGCTCTCTCAAACTAATAATTCAGGCAGGACACCATCTGTAATTAACAATAAGAATGAAAACAGGAAGACGAATTCTTGGTCAATTGAACCTTATGAGATCAATGTGAAACAATTAATAAAGCTGTTCGAAGCAGCTCCAAACGATGGTATTAAACGTCATGAAAAGCATGAATTTTAATAAGAAATGCAAGATTCTAAATAAAATTTTATAAAAGACAGTTACGTCTTATAGTCTTTGTCTCCAACTGGTCTTCTACTCCATGTTAGTCACAAAAATCACAAGCATAGAATTACCTTTTTTCTACTCATCCAAATTTTCCAGTTATTTTTCGATGACGATATTAAAATGACTTAAGGGTGTAGGTGCGGGTGTGTACATTGATCTTTCATTGACCCACACAACCACACTCACCTCTGCGTAAGAGTATTTCGAGACTTCATACGATATTGAAGTTCTTTTTTTCGTTGGATCAAAAAATTGAATATTCGTCAGCCCTAATTCTATTGACACGGTCCTTTTGGACAAAATAAGATCAAACAGTAGTTTGCGTATTAATAGGAGCAAATATGACTGTTACCAGCAGCAGAATAGAAACGAAGAAATAAATCGACATTCATAAAGTTGCGATATAAATTATCCGTACGAGTGCTTCCTTTGATCGAACATAGACAAAACGCCGACATTTATAACTACTTAAATGGGTTCACTTATTAATACTCTTTTCACTTCATGCAGAAATAATGAAAGTACTTAATAGTTATTGTTTTGGATCGAAATATTTACACGAAGTTTTTGCAGATTTCGGTTAGGGAAAGTAAAACATTGGACAAAATGAAAATGATATTCGCAATCATCAAAAACTGAGCTGACTTACATATATTTCTAACGTTTTTGAAAAATTTTTTCATCGAAACAGTCTCATGTGGTCATTATTAGAGTTGACTACAAAGTGAAAATTCTGTGGATTCGAGTTTTCTTTGCAAACCTGCGCTCATGAACCGCTGCTGGCTCTCCAAGTGGTTGTATTATGTGCACAGTTTAATTATCTACTGACTGGTACTCTCTATTCAAGTGTACATCGACCAGAAAATACGTGTTTGACTCGAGACGGTGTAGGGCGTGTGTAACAGAAAATTGAGAATATGGCAAGGATATGGTGCAGAAAGATTGGTGACTGCATTGTTGGATCACATATTTCAAATGGTTGCCTTGTTTAATATTTCTTCAAGCTCACTTCCATTACTGGTTGCACGTGATTTTATTTCTCTCTCCATATTAACACACACATTATTATATATATATTCCACTCATATGACTTTTACACCAACTATATATACCATCTAACAAAGGTGTGTAACATCGGGTGTGTTGTATCCTTGATAATGCGCAATATCAACCGAGAATATTCTCGACTGTTCTCTTCTCTTCTCTCTCCTTCTGAACGATGCATCCTTGCTTCTGTTTGATGCGGCAATCTCGGAGTGAAAAGAGAACAATGAATATATATATGCAATGAATAGCGCAGCGATTACAACAGTATTGAAAAAGTATTGAACACTATGAACAATATTACATAAGGATACAAAGTTGACATCACATGCTGGTGATAGCATGTCACATTGGTGTATCTCTTGGCACAGTGTGCATGTGGGTTCGGATGGACTGAAGACTAACACAAATATCCACAACATACCTGCACCCACACCCCACACTCACCCTCACACCCACACCCGACACACTCCAGTGATCATTGAGTTCCGTCATATAAAAAACCTTTTTGTAAAAGAAATATATTTATAATAGTGCTATTGTTATTCGGATCGGCCTGGGCTCTAATAGAGTAAAAGTTGGGCCGGGTCGGGCCATCAAAAATTGACCCGATTCGAGGCCTGGTTCCCATTACTGTACTTTACCGCGGCAAACCGTCGGTTTTGATAAATATCACGGTTTAGCGCGAAAAGCTGTTCGGTATTTAAGATATGAGTACTACGGGGGGCAGATGACATAAATTTTTCAGCTAAAATAATAATTTTATCATTTTGTGAAAATATAATTTGTTCTTGTTTATCTGGATTTAAAACAATTCCAAAAAATCTTGTTTCATCATGTAAATATTTCATTAATCTGTAACCAATTGCTAAACATTGATATTTTAATGTTTCTTGTAAAATTTGATAATAACTAATTGGTGTTTCTAGTGGAACGAACATCGATGCTAAACATAAATAAATCTCAGGACCATCAGCTGTTAATAAAACATCATAAACTTTTTTTATATTTTTATTTTCAGATAATTGTGAAATATATTTTGATATTAAATTTGGACTAACAATAAAATCATCGGCACATGTTGTATTTGCTAATTGACAATTACGTATATCATACATTTCTGCTACTATACTAAATGTTTTTTCATTATTTGATTTATCAATAATATTTTGTAAATATAATAAACAAATTAAACATTCAGCATCAGCTTCTTCAATTAAATTTTGTTGTTCACTGTCTTCATTTGCTAATAGTATAACATAATCATAAGAAAATAAATTTAATTTTTCTAAATCAAATTTATTTATTAAACTCCCAGAATGTACAAATATTTTTTGTTTTGTTAATTCATTAACTAATTGTTCATTTATAAATTGTGTTATTATATCAGAATTTGTTAATATATGTAGTTCACTACCACGAGCAACATAAGTGTCCAATTCTTTAGCAATTAATGGAGCTTTATTATTCCATCCGAGTAGAAGATTTCGTTCAATTTTTTTTGTTGCTCTTCTAGTCATAGGGTTTGATAATAAAACTGTATTATGATTAATTAA